TCATTTTTTATTTTCCAAGAAACATTCCGAGCGCCTGTGGTTTGCTGGTGTGTCTGAGAAATACTTGAGGTTTCATGTACGTCTTTTAATGCTAACACGCTTTATTACATGATAAATTATAGTTTTCTTCTAAATTGTCCTATTGTTTATTGATTCCTTATTTCGTCATAGTTTTCCAATAGAATAATAAAGGGTTCATCACTTTTAATAATGTATAGTAGATAAGGAAAAAATGTTAAAGCGTTTTCTCCTGTTCTACAGGAACGTATATTATTAGAATTAATTTTGAATTATTCATTTGAGAACTATTTTTAATGTGCAAATTATTTTCATACTTATGAACCCCCTTCCCCTCATATTTACTGATTTCTATTTATTTCTAGACCACGAGTTAAAGTCATTATTTGGCTATATATGCAATGATTAGTTTTAGATTAAAATCTGTTGATATTAATTCCCTGATTAGCATAATATAGTATAATTTTTGGGGTTATAATCTCATTTAAATGAAACTTGCTACATGGATGGTCTGTTACTTTGCACAGACCTTATTAGTTTCACACTAAAATCTGTTCATATTAATTATCTGATTTGCATAATTAGTTTTGAACTTTTCCATCAACATCTCAAGTACAAGTAATTTTGAATTAATTTTCAATGTGTCTCCATTACTCAGCACACGAGGGTTCTTTCTAAGCTTTCTTTGATATTATATTTATTTGACAAACTACTTTTCGTCATCTTTACTTAATTTAGTTGTTTATTTTGTATCAGTATGCCAGATCATTTGGGAACACAATTAAAGAAAGTTTGAAAAGATCATGTAATTGGTCTATTACTTCACCAATCCCTCATCGTTTTATCCACCAGCCACAAACCAAGTTTTATTTTGAGACATTCCAATGTTCCAACCATTACCAGTTGTACGCATGTGAAAAGAGGATCATGAGAAATTGGGCTGTTGACAATGGGAAAGTTGTTAGACAAAGATAAATCCGACAAGAAACACACATATAAGGCAGGTGCATGGCCACTGAATCTGTAGAAGAAGGTGATACCAATTAGTGAAACATTGCAGAGAGAGAGACATGATTTGTCAGATGGGTCGGCTGTTGAGAAGGACACATGGGAGAAAACTGATGAGCAGAGAGAGAGGAATATAGTAGTGATGAAAACAGTGGTTCAGAAACTGAGGAAGTAGATAACACGAAAGAAGTGACATTCTATGAATTTATCAGGGGTAAATTCTTGTACTCTCGGGTTTCTCCACACTTGTCAGGGGGGAATCTCGTCTCGTCTCTCTATCTCGTCCCCTCGAGGTACGGGATCGGGAAAGTCACTTTAACTTTACAGTCAAATAAGACACACACAACGAAATACGTTTCAGCTCTCGTCTTAGTCGGTCAATCGAGCACTCTATAAGACACAGCGCCTGGAGAAAAATCCCCAAGACTATCTCAAGGCTGACCCAAGACTCTTTTAGACTGCTTCAACACTCCCCCAAGGCTCTCCAGGACTGCTCTCGACTGCTCAGGACTGCACTCCCTCTACTGCGTCTATCGTGCTGTGCTCCCCAAGACCAACTCAAACTCTCTTTATTCATTTTCAAAACTCTAACCAATTACAAAGCAGTAAAAAGACTCTAGGGCGTAACCTTCAATCATAAAGCCAATCACACTAGGTACTGAATACGTCATATCTTTTGATTAATCGTTCACTACATTAATAACTATGGAAACCAACTGTCAGAATAGCGACGATTATCTTGTAATTAGTTCCAAATCACTGAGCCAAGTTCCGTCCAAAACTTCACATAGGCCTAAACGATGACCGACATAACACAGCAATTCAGCTAATAATCAACTAATTAAGTCGGTCAACAGATACGCAAAAACAAATTCATGACAAATTACTGAACAAAGAGAAGCAGTGTGTGCAAGATAGGTTGGCTCCTGAACAGAAAGCAACTAGGGAAACTGTTGCACAAAGGGACGACAACAGTAATGACGAGAACAGCAGTTTAGAAACCGAGGAGATAGATGGTTTCAAACAGAAAGATCAGTTAAGAAATGTATGTCTAACTACTATGTCTGACCAGCAATCAAAGTTAATGTCAGATATCTTCAATAAATGCTTTTATATTCAACAACAATTTCTGGTGATTGGTGGATAGGTAATTGGAATTTCTGGTGATTGGTGATTTCCCTCTTTAAATCTTGGTGATTGGTGATTGGGAGGGGGTATAAATGGGCCTGAACTATAAAACTACGTAAAACGCATATTTACTAATTTAACGTTTTGAAATAGTTACTGAAACTTTGAATAATGAAAGAATGAACAATATATCAATGATCTATATTGTAACAATGCGAAAACAACCAATAATAGCCGGAATAAAATAAACTACATTCCTACAAGAAGTATGTAGAATAGACACTCACTTAGGGGTGTCTCGTTCATTTTAGCACCATCCTAGCTGGCCAGGCCACGTTCGAAGACGCACAGACCAAATACTTCCGGTTTACTGTTGTTCGTCTCGAACGACGACGTTTGTAGTTATTTTTATATTTGGGACATTTTAACCGCTCCAAACACTACGTGACGGGTGGAATTAGAAGGTTAGTCATCTTACGACTCAACATTAGAATCGATTGCGCTCTGGTAATTGTATGTTTTATATCTCTAGATAATATACGTAAATGTCATGACCCTTTGTCAAATGTTGTGACCAACTCTGTCACGGTGACCTTTTTTTAATGTTGTCAGTGCGTCTTAAAATGGACGTCCATGGTCGTATTTATGGTATGGTAACTTGTTATTCCGTGAAATTTCCCGCTAGTCTGCAAAGCCCCGAGGATGGTACCTCTATTGATTTTTTTGATTACATAACCCCACGGGCGTGGTCAACACATCTAACAAGACGAGTTGTGAATGAGGTTTAGGGTAATTCACGATATAATAATAATAATAATAATAATAATAATAATAATAATAATAATAATAATAATAACTTTATTGCATCCTTAGAAATACAATGTTTCTATCAGTTAATAGCACTAAAGATTAGTTGTGATAACTACTACTACAAAAAGAAAGTTAGTTGTTAAAAAAAAAAAGATAAAGCAAGTGTTACATATCAAATGGCATTTTTATTTCTTGATTGAAATGCATTATGAATATAGTTGCCAATCTTTTTTATTATTACATCATCTTTTGAAGTCATCAAGAAATTAAATTTCTGGAGATCATCCTGGGTTTCTTGTGGAAATATAATGTCTTGTATGATTTGTTGGCGTATTACTTTATATTGTGGACATTTCATAACAAAGTGCAGTTCGTCTTCTATTTCATTCTGTGAACATTGTTTGCAAATTCTATTTTCAGTAGGTACTTTTGGTTGCATATGTCTCCCTTTTTCTATTGCTAAAATGTGATTACTAGTTCGAAATTTTGTCATTGAAATTCTTTGTTTCAAATAATAATACAATAATAATATAATGTACAGCTTACAGATATACTAGTAGCTTATCACGATTTAAAAATCCAAGAGGAAAAGTAGATTACAAAAAGTAGGTTAGTCAGAGATGAAATTAGAACAGGCTGGGGGTAGGTGAGTTGAAGGTGAAGTTAGGGCACAGTCCCTCTATGTGATAGAGGGACTGTGGTTAGGGTTAGTACTCAAGTAGGTGAGTTGATGTTTGTGTTCATGCATTGGAGGAAACAATGGTTTGCACAGATTAAGAAGCGTTCAAACATGTTAGGAATATACAAATCTCGATACTCAGTGCAGTAACCAGGTATACACATTAGTTCTATCATAAATTCAGAAATTGCAGATTGTAGAATAACAGGAAGTAGTACCGAGTCTCACTGTGACAATGTCCCTAAATGGGCTTGTGTTGATTGCCGTGTAGGAAATGGCATTCTGGCCTTTTGGACATACATGTATAACCCAAGCAAAACATTCACACACACTTTGTTAGCCCGTTCCAAAGGTTAGACCGATCTTAAAAGTGAGTCAGATTTAACTGTCTTCTAGTAGAGTTATTACTAATTGACAGTGTCTGTAACTGGATAGAGGACATAGATAGTATTGAAGGGTTTAAAAACGCAATGCTGCCTGTAAAAAGAGAATTCATAGTTAAAAGTGAGTATAGTTTTGAAAGAACATTTGTGAGTACATGAGACATGGCATGATATAGATTTGGAAAATATTTAAAATTAATTCAAGCATACTAACAAACTCTAGAAATAAGAAATAAATTTGGATTTTGATAGCCCAAATTTACAAAGTACCTCTTCCTTGTAACCATTTTGCATTCAATGCAAATTCAACAGTCTCTGTGGTTAGCAAATATGTTGCAGGTCGGCCATTCACCAAAGCTATGGCTCTACTAACGGGTTCAGCATAACAAAAATAGTTGTACAATGTAGAACCTAAACACGATATTGATGTCTCATTCAATTGTGACTGATCAATCGTATTTACTTAAAAAAAAACTTGCTGGATATATAAGGTTCCAGTGTACAGTATCATTGTCGATCAGTTTCAAAGTCAGTCGGAAAACAATTTACATTGAAAATCATTTCGGGGCCCAGTAATCAGGAGTGCGTCATATTAAACACAGCACTATACTGTATATAGGGCTATTATTGTATACGATTAAGTCATCATGCCTCGGCTGGCTGGGTGCTTAACAGTTTAAATTATCAAAGATACAAATATAACTATGGGCAACATATTGATATTCTATTCATGAGAGCTGTGAATATTTTAGAGATTGTGTCACTTGGTTCTAAACACAATAGAGGCATGATGACAAGTCTGAAAGTGGTTTACTTGAAAATCATGCAAAAATAATTTGACAGGGCGTGAGAGGCTTTTTATAAAATATGGGTAGGGTTGTAGATTATAGGAAAAAAAATGATCATCCTATAATCTGACTTTCAGTACAAATATAAAGATGGCGATACTCCTTTGGAAAATACTTAAAAATAGCTTAGAAGATCAGCTAATTTGCATAACATTGTATTGTTTTAATCATCTCTATTGTATTCATTGTTATGATAAATTGTTTGTATTTTTTATCCCATGTCTATAATGTCCTGGGAAGAACCCTGACAGTGATGTACATCCCCAAAACATTTAATGTTTGATTTAATTTCATTGAAAAACAAACCTTAAAGGCTTTTTAAACACTTACTTTGTTATTTGCTCTTAAAGTTTCTACAACCAGCCACTGGTACAGGAACAGAATATAAAACAGGATACAATGAAATATTGCATGCTGAACATATGTGATCATATGCAGTATACAGCGTTACTTCCAGATTCATATTGTGAAATTACACTTGGATGCAACTTACTGCAAATAAGCCTAATTTTTTAATGATGTGTACCGGTCATCAGCATATCTCACCCAGTACGCAATTTTCATGATTAATTTCTTGAAATCATTTTCCATTTTTCACGTACATTTATTTATGTTAATATACACTATTTATTTGAATATTACCATCATTCTAAATAGCTTTGATTTTTTAAATATTTCATGCATTAAAATTCAACATTTTTTTGCTATACATATATAATCAACATCAGTGTACATGTAGTACACATACATGTAGGTAAAGTTGATACAAAACATAACATAAATACTTTTCTGCCAAATTTTTATTCATAAAAAAATCACGATTAGCAGCTTGTCTTCTCTTTATTATACAAATATTTCTTTCGAAGTAAATCTTGAAAAAGAAATAATTAAGATACTCAGATTTTGAAAAAAATTGCAAAGCCAATTATATCCATTTTCCTTCATCAACATGCCAAGATTGATTCATCATTGATATCTGCTAAAGAATTTCTGAGAAAAGGCTGGTAACATACGTATACACATGAACACAAAAATGGATGGGCAAAACCCAAGTTAATAGAATCCTTTTTCAGGCTATGCCTAATAAAATACAGTTGTAGCAATAATGTTGCAAAACCAGACTTTGTATCACTAAAACATTCATATGCACAATATCGTTAAACCATATGCCATACAGTATAAGCCACTGGTGTACTTTGCATCTAATTTTTGTTAAGCCTTCAACAGAATTATATAATTATATCTCTTAGTGTAGACATCTGTGAGCATGGACCCCCACACCAGGCACAACGACTCTGGATTTCCACAGATAGATCTTAGCAACAAATTAATCATAAAAGTACAGCTCGGTGACGACATACGACGAATACCAATCCACAATGAAGATATCACATATGATGAATTATTGTTGATGATGCAGAGAGTGTACAGAGGTCGTCTTAATAGCAGTGATGAAGTTACAATCAAGTATAAAGACGAAGGTATGTACTTATTCATTAAGTACTTATAAGCTTGGAACAAGAAACAAATTAGGTCAAAATCACTGCATTTATGCTTGCCACTGGAGAGTGTGTTGAATTGTTTGAATTTGTGTGAGCAGGGAATACCATACTTTTTTGAATCTGATGTTGAAGGTCAAGATTTAATACTTGTATGCTGTTTAGCCCATACTGTAGTTGTCTGGCTATACATCCAGGTGGTCTTTTTCTACACTTGCAATGAAGGCTTGAAAAATAAATGTCTATTGTGAAAAACACAAAATAGCCATGACAGCAAAATAGGTAATTTCGCGCTCTGCCTTCAGGGTTACGCTGTTTACGTAATTTACATTTATGTTTCAAGATATTTTATCAGAATCGTAACAGTCAGCAAGTCTACAAAATATTAAAGCAGAAACTGTAGTTCTTTTTTTAGTCCCCGTTCGGACGAAGTCCGAAAATGGGGACTTATAATTCGGTCTCCGTCCGTGCGTCTGTGTGTCCGTCCAGAGTCATATCTCAGAATCCCTTGGACCGATTCCATTCATTCTTTGCATGTGCCTAGTACTTTATGTGAGACATATGCACATGCAGTGCTTTAGCGATTCGATTCAAAATGACCGACTGGCAGCCATCTTGTTTTTTGAAAATGTTGCATTTTGGACATGTTTTGTCAGTTTTCATTCAAATTTAGTACATAGATCATACATGTTAGGATACATGCCCCTGACCGTCCATGAGTTCCTGAGTCTGTCCGTCCATCTGTGTGTCCGTCTGTCAGTCTGTCCAGAGTCGTATTTTAGAATCCTGTGGACCGATTCCGTTCATTCTTTGCATGTGCCTAGTACCTTATGTGGTACATATGCACATGCAGTGGTTTAGCGATTCGATTCAAAATGGCCGACTGGCAGCCATCTTGTTTTTTGAAAATGTTGTATTTTGGACATGCTTTGTCAGTTGTCATTCAAACTTGGTACATAGATTATACATGTTAGGATACATGTCTATGACAATTTATTTCGCAATTGGATCAAAGATGGTCGACTGGTAGGCATCTTGTTGTTGTTTTTTATGCGGTATCTTGGACGTGCTCTGTCAGTTTTCATTCAAATTTGGCACATACATGTACTTTATACAAGTTAGAATGCATGTCCATGACAATTTGTTTCAAAATCTGGTCAAGGATGGCCGATTGACAGCCATCTGACTTTTTGGCCTTACTACTTCCACAATTTATTTACCATTTTCATTCGTATTTTGCATATCAGTGTGTTTCATAATCAGATCAAAGATGGCCGAGTAACGGCTGTTTTTATTTTTGGCCATATTACTACTACACGGAACACGTGTTTTGATGTAAATAAGCAATCTGTTGTATACGCCACTTGGAACTCAAGTTTCAAGGACACGCTCGCGACAACCCCTCCGCTTTAATATGACAAGCTCAAAGGGAACTTTCAAAAATTTAACGGGGACTGTGTCATTTTCAATGACTTGTTGAAATACATCATGGCCCTGAAAAGGGCCGTTTGATTTGTTAGTTATGTTTTGACCTCCGTGTATCCGTGCATGCGTCTGTGCGTGCGTCCGGACATGTATCTTAGAAATGCCTGGACCAATCACAATCAAACTTCACACATACATCATACATGATATTATACATATGCACATCAATTTGTTTCACGATCTGATTCAAGATGGCCGAATGCCGGCCATTTTTGTGCTAAAAATCATCAAAATCAAGCATTTCTCGGCTGGTTACAGATGGATTTTGTTCAAACTTGGTATATACATTAGACATTATGGGACCTTGATGCAAATAATTTTGTTTTTCAGATAACATTCAAAAATGGCCGACTGGTGGCCATTTTGTATTAATGAATGTGGTTCTCGTGCCATATCTCTGACTTGCTTTCACTGATTATGTTCAAATTTTAAATATTCATTATACATCATGTCATAGATAGACAGATATATTGGTTTGACGATCCTATTCAAAATGGCCAAATGGTGGCCTTTTTTGTGCTAAACAATCATCAAATATCAAGCATTTCTGGCATTTATGGATGGATTTCGTTCAAACTTGGTACATATCTTAGAAATTACAGGTTCCTGATGCACATCATTTATTTTTCAGATCGGATTCAAAATGGCTGTCTGGCGGCCATTTTGTTTTAATGAATGGGGTTCTAGACCCATATCTCCGACTTGTTTTGACTGATAATATTTTCAAATTTGAAATATTATTTATACATCATGTCATAGATAAACATATACATGTATATTGGTTTGACTATCCTATTCAAAATGGCCGAATGGTGGTCATTTTGTGCTAAAATATCATCAAATATCAAGCATTTGTGGGTGGATTTCTTTCAAATAGGTAAATACATTAGACATTACGGGTTCCTGATGCTCGTCATTTTATTTTTCAGATTGGATTCAAAATGGCTGTTTTAATGATTGGGCTTCTAGAGCCATATCTCTTGAATGCTTTGACTTATTATAATTAAATTTTATATATTCGTTATACATCATGTTATATATATACATGTATTCAAAATGGCTGATTTTGAATGCTGTTCCAGAGCAATTTCTCTCAATATGGACAAGTACTTGTTTGACGATCAGATACAAATGTCAATCATTTTAATGTTAAAAAAATCATATTCCTGACATGGTTATATTCCAGCTATATTACTATAAACAAAACTATATATCTTAAATTTGATAACTAACGGGGACTGTGCCATGCATGGCTTGTTTTTCCTTAGAAACAATTCAAGCAAATTTTGCAGTATTGAGAGCTGCGAAGCAAGTGTCGCATTCGTTTGGCTTAACGTCATCGACAATGAAATTAATGTTGCAATATTGTAGTAACATGTACCTGCATGGGAGAATGGTTGATAGCATGTTGTTTTGGCTTTATATAATAATTGGTAGCAGCTTGCGAATCCATAACTGGGGCCAACAATTTTGCAATGTCACGCTGATGACTTGACCTCTATGATGAAACACTAGTAGTGATGTCATTCTTAACCAATCAATAAACCAGATGCTTTGCACGCGATCCAATTTTTCTTGTCTCTTTATTGTGGTTAGAGATGCCAAGCTGACAGACAGTAAAATCCCTGGATTAAAAGTGCAAAAAAGTTCAAATTGTGTGCGACGACATCGACTGTTGATCTGGTACATTTTGTATTTGTCAAATTTTAGTTCATTTTGAGTTCATGAGTATTGGGCGTTAATGTAGTGTGGATACCCTAATTCAAATGATTCTTCACTGTTGATTTTAATGGAAATATGGAAGGATCATGTGCGTAAGCGTCCTCCAATGATAAAATCAAACATGGAAGCCCCCAACCCCTAAACAGTTTTATGGTAATACATGTACCTCCCCCCAAAAAAACAGTTACCAGGACCTCCCAAATGATACTGGATAATGCAGTTCCTCCTCCCTCTGAACAGACACTGGATAACACCCCCCTCCCAGAACAGATACTGGATTTTCTTTTCTTTCTTATGTGTGAATCTTCATGCAGAATAACATTCAGAGAACAACTAATAATGTACTAATTTATTTAACTATTTTTATTATTTTCAGATAATGATTTAATTACAATAGGTGACAACCCTGATCTTTCCTTTGCTATTCAATGTAGTCGAATTCTTAAAATCACATTATTTGGTGAGTAGTCTCATATCAATGTGTTTTTACAAATGAATTAATCATGTGAAGCTGAATCTACCAGCTTTTGGATCCCCAAAAAATTCTTTTACATAACAAGCAATTACACGCAATATTTCTTTGAAACCATAGCATATTTGTTGTTACATGTACTAGTATTTAGATACTTAAATAATGATATATTCGGCTTTTGTCTTTCATGAAAATGTCCTGGACTGTCCTGACATGCATGGCCTTCCTGAGATGTGTGTCTGGCAGGCATGGCTTTTCTGAGATGTGTCTCTGCCATGCATGCTTCCCTGAGATGTGTGTCTGGCATGCATGGCTTCCCTGAGATGTGTCTCTGCTATGCATGCTTCCCTGAGATGCGTGTCTTCCACGCATGCTTTCCGCAGATGTGTGTCTGCCACACATGCTTCCCTT